TCAGTCAGTAGGATCAACAAACCAAAATACTGTAAAACAATGGCCATATTCCTTGTTGATATCTACTTATGTGTAATAGACGAATATCTTTCGATTTTCTTCCGAAAGATCTGATAACTTCTTCAAAACTTATAAGAACGCTACATCATGCGTTGCGTGTGAGCACTTTCTTCCAACATTGAGCTACTGAAAGCAGATATCCGGCTTGTTCCACAACGTTTTCTATCTGCGAAACTTTCCACGTCAGTGATAAATTTATACTTTATTAGCTTTTGAATATCACCATCAATTAGTCCGAAACTTGCTGACTTATTGACAGAGGTCAGTCTGAAACTTACTGAATCTATATCTGGATCTGATAGTTATGCTATTTTGCATTAAAAACAAGGCATATTTAATAGAAAAGGGTGTTGTATTATGCCTCTATAGGCATTATGTTCCATAGATGACAATCTAGATATTACAAACGTCATAAGTTTCGGACTAGTTATCAATTAGCGGATAGAATGTAAATTACACAAAGTTTAATATGAATCGTGAACAAATAATGATGTTATATATCTAAACGGGATTTTATTACACAATATCAATATTAAAGGAATATTACAGGGAGCAATTGTGTAATGTTGAACGATAGAGCACGGAGTACATGCACACCTGCGATCAGCTGCATAATGTAACGTTCAGTTTACAATGTACATACAAGCGACCAACTGCGTAATGTCCTGGCCTACATCCGTTTGACCAATCGTACCTTAGTCTCAGAAACGCGAATTTCTTTTGGCAAGCTATTCGGTAAGAACCTAGACTCCACAGGTCATCGTCGAAATTTGAGCCTTCAAAATTATCGGAAAGTTGAAATAACGACTCGTCTTTTCTTGATACTCCGCCTTATATAGAAAAGACATTGAGATATTTTTGAAGGAATTATGCGATTTTCGTGCCATTCTAGTATTTCTAAAGACTATTTATGTATATTCAAGATCAAAATCAATCCCCGAAAGGGCCCTTCAGAACCATATTTCATTTCGTTTTAATCGGAAAGCAGCTGCTGTGATACGCGCGGTTTCGTTTCATTCCACCGGGCCGCCCAAACTTAGTAATTACTCTGAACGATTCCTTTATCAATTAGTGTTTTATCACGTTCCCAGTTTTAATAAACAGTTGAAATTGACTGAGAGTAATACATCTATTCAAAGCGATATTCATTCAATTCTATGTCTATATAATGTACCAGGATTATTTTTCATATTGTGTCGTCAATTCCATGGCCAATTCTTATCATTTAAAGGGATTTTAAAGAGGTTTTCTAAAAAAAAATATGGGTATCGGGGCCCTGATAGCATCAATTTACACCATCCTGATTTTCTCTCAGACGTCTGTGGTTCCTGCAATTCCACTAAAACTAAGCGATTGTTGACGTCACTAATCACAAAATATGCTGTACCAAAAAGAGCCTTCGCGATTGGTGACGTCATCAAACACTTAGTTTCAGTGGAATTGCAGAAACCACAAACGTCTGATTGAAAATTAGAATGGTGTAAATTGATGCTATCAGTGTCCCTGATACACATAAAAATTTTATAAAACCTCTTTACAATCCCTTTAATTGTGCACGCTTACAAATGAGATTATTTTGTAAAAACATTAAAGGAACATTGATTGGTAGCCTAATCTATTAATCTAAAATATAAATATCATAGGAAGGAACATTGGCCTTTCATTAGGTTTCAAATTTGACGAAATATTTTGAGCAGCTATGACGGGTGTGGCTCACTTATGATTGATATACTTCCTCATATGAGCGGGTGACAGACAGGGTATGCTAACTCTTCTAGACACCTGATACCACTTTTCATTATGAAATACTTACTCACTTATGATTGATATACTTCCTCATATGAGCGGGTGACAGACAGGGTATGCTTACTCTTCTAAACACCTGATACCACTTTTCATTATGAAATACTTACTCACTTATAATTGATATACTTCCTCATATGAGCGGTTATGACAGACAGGGTATCCTTACTCTTCTAAACACCTGATACCACTTTTCATTATGAAATACTTACTCACTTATGATTGATATACTTCCTCATATGAGCGGGTGACAGGCAGGGTATGCTTACTCTTCTAGATACCTGATACCACTTTTCATTATGAAATACTTACTCACTTATGATTGATATACTTCCTCATATGAGTGGTTGTGAGAGGCAGGGTATGCTTACTCTTCTAGACACCTGATACCACTTTTCATTATGAAATATTTACTCACTTATGATTGATATACTTCCTCATATCAGCGGGTGACAGGGAGGGTATGCTTACTCTTCTAGATACCTGATACCACTTTTCATTATGAAATACTTACTAACTTATGATTGATATACTTCCTCATATGAGCGGTTATGACAGACGGGGTATGCTTACTCTTCTAAACACCTGATACCACTTTTCATTATGAAATACTTACTCACTTATAATTGATATACTTCCTCATATAAGCGGTTATGACAGAGTATCCTTACTCTTCTAGACACAATAATTTACTGTTTCATTTTTAATAGACACCCCTTCCAAAATACTTATTATTTGTGGTCTGACTTTTTCATGAGTTCCAGAGTTATGTCCCTTATCCTGATTTTATTTTCAGTTGGATAATAGTTGATGGTACAAGGACAACATCACATAATATATATTTACTAACAGGAATAACTAAGAGCTCTGAATTTTCGGAACTGCCTGAAACACTTTGCTAATGTAAGTCAATTCCAAGAATCTTAAAGAGATTGTAAAGAGGATTTCTAAATTTTTTATGCTTATCGGGGACACTGATAGCATCAATTTACGTCATTCTAATTTTCAATCAGACGTCTGTGGTTCTTGTTAAAGGGATTATAAAGAGTTTTTCTAAATTTTTTATGTGTATCAGGGAGAGT